TCTTGAAAGCTTGATTTCATCACCTACAACTTTTACCTTCTCTTTAAATGGATCGGCTTGAAGCAGCCGATGCAAAAACTTTTTGCCATCAGGACCAATCGAAATAGACTGGTCATCTCTTTGTGTTTCAGAAAATTTCAATCATCCTTTATCAATGGCCGATTTAACTATTTGACGAAACATGTTGCAATCCTCAAAATTATGCTTGGACGAATCATGCAACTTACAATACATTCGTCCTTGGATTGATGGCTTAAATATGGTGATCAACAATTGTAATGTAATTATTTTTCAGCAACAAATCAAATATTTGATCACACATGCTTGAATTGAAGGTATACTTCTTGTTTTCTAGCCGATCTTGCTGTGTGAATGGCTTTGGAGATAAGAAAACGAATGGTTCAGATTTGGAATCTCCCCATTCGGCTATGCATTGTGTATTCCACTCTATCTTCGATGTCTTTCAGACAAGATATTATATTAGCATCGGTTTTCTCAATAGACTTTAACCTTGGCTTTAAATTTCTGAAACGAAGATATTTAGAATATACATGTCTCAGTTGAGACCAAGTGCAAGCCAAGTACGAAATAAGCAAAGCTACCCAACTGATATGAACTTTAGATAAAGCAATGAGGAAAGCTTTGGCTATAACAATAAGTCATTATCGGTCTTTATAAATGGCGCAATGGGTTGACCGATATGTTCCATAACAGTTTTATTGCTAACAAGTAAATTACCCTTCTTCATTGGTCTTTCAAAATTACTTATAAGAATATTTCTTCTATAATGAAGTTGCGACCAAATCTAAAAATAGGTAAATACTCGCTATGCATACCTCTTCGAATACGTTGGGAGAGCATGATGGTGGTGTGCCTTGAACAATATCTAGCTTCGTCTTTGGATAACTCTCCAACGCCTTTTCATCATCTTTTTCTTTATTCCGCGCATCATTACCTTGAAGATCTTTATCAGCCGAACTTTGTTTGGCTACTTGCTCTTGTCCTTGAGGCTTGTCAATTTCTATGGCACGAAACTCATAGGGCAGGAAGTAGGTTCCATTAACTTCAGAAAAATCAAGCATGGTTGTTTTGCTATGCTTGCCATGCCCTTTCTCAATAATGCTTGCCTCTTTGGATGATGGATTCGGAATATATACTACTTAATTCGGCTTTTTCAACCGAAGCACTTTCAAGTTCCGAATCATCCTTCTTTTCATTGATACTACCAATTGGCAATGCTTCTTTTATCTGAGCCAATTCTTTTTCTATTTGTTTCTGGTGGCGAGTGGCAAAGTTGGCTTTAAGCTTTTTCTCAATTTCAGCCCACTCGGGATATGATTGCCCCCCAATATTTTTAGATTCTTTCGGCAATGACACATGTGTGTTGCCGAAATTTTGCAATAGTGTAGGGGGTGTATAATATGATGTAGTAATAGTTAAAGGCATATGCATTGTCGTAAAACCATATTTTTGCTCGCCAATTTTATCAACTGGCAAAGATTCATCTTCTTGCAAAACTCTAGCTTTTATTGCGGCATAATCAGGAAATAGCTCCTTTTCATGTTGTTCAAGGCAAAGAGCACTAATCCTCTTATTTTGGGCTAAACTCTTAAATGCAGCCACTACTACCTCATCTTCTACGATATTGGGCACAACCGCTCCTGTAAAATTTACATTTATTCGGCTATGACCAGGAAGGTCGGAAGCCGAATTATGAACATCTACAGTTGTGTATGGTGCCGAAAAATTATTGTCACGAGGGGTAGCATATGACGGTTGAGAATAACTGGCCGAATAGCTAGTAGTAGCATGACCAATTCTCTTGTTCATCGGCATGGTTGGATTAGTATATTGCAAATTAGTTGCCGATGAATAAAAGGGCGCAACACTTTTTTGTATGCTATTGGTAATTTTAACATGAGGTGTTTCAAATTGATTAACCAAACCCATCATGTTGTTCATCGGCATATGGATTTGTGGGATTGCCGATGCATGAGAGTTAGGATACATATGTTGTATGTTACTAGTATCATAAGAAGTTGAAACATGTAAATTACTCTGAATCGGTCTTTGCGTGTAATTAGATGCATTATTGAAAAAACTAGGGTTGGCCGATAGAGTATACTCATTGAACGATCTAGTAACACCATATGAATTATTTGCATATACAGTAGGGAATTGGGTATTCATATTACCTTTGTAGATTGCAAACCCTAGATGACGATCTCTTCGTAGCAAGAACGGGCTGGAGACCGTTCAAAGCTTCGTCCCCAGCGGAGTCGGCAAAAAGTGTGTTCGCACATGAACACGTCACCGTGTACCCTCGACGCCGGGGTGATGCACCGCAGCTCACGTCGAAGGAGACCCAGCCGGAAGCGCAGTATGCAGGCAATCCGGCGGGTGCTTTTGAGAACCCGAAACCCCACACGCCCGGGAGGGACCCCGTCTGGGCGCGTGGCGGCTATGGACTGCCCTAGGTCGACCTAATCGCCCCTAGGGCCTCGAGGTTCGCCGCCCTGCAACAAGGAGAACAGACGAAGAATGAGGAAGAAGAAGAATTAGGGTTAAGGAGAAAAGAAAAAAGAAAAAAGTGGTAGATGATTTGATTGATTGTGTGTTGTTCAATCGGCCGTCACCCCTTATAGGTATATAAGAGGCGGCTGGACTTCCCGTGCAAGGAAAAGACTTAGATTCACGTCCAAAACCCTAGTCAAATTCGGATTGGTTTTGTCTGAACTTTACAAAACTGTTCGGTTTAAACTGGCTGCACTTTGTGGGTCTTTTTTGTGGTGGTAAACGACCTCGGATGGAAACGAGTCCAAAAACATTCTTAACCGCTTCGACGAGACGAACAACTTTCATGTTGAATGTTTTTTTATCAGAGGTCATCTTAAGGGTCAAATAGCTCGCGCAAAACATCTGTTTGCTCGCGCTACCCATCAGACATGGCGTCTGGTGGGGCGCGCCATATTTCGCCTCCTGACAGGCCTGCATTCCGATAGCGCTAACTTTTGCATACGAAGTCGGATTGAGACGAGTTTTATATCAAAATCGATCGTTTCAATGAGACGAAGACAATTCATATAGATCATTTTTTCATACAAGGCCATACTAAGTGCGTAATCAGCCGAATAGTGTTCTGAATACAAAATCTGAGTACTTCAAACACAACTTCGGCCTTAGAGATGAGTTCGGATGGCTATGGCCCAAATATCAAAGTTGTTCTTTTGATGATACGTAAATTCCTCACTTTGAGCACTTCTCTATTTGAGGCCATCTTAATTATGTTTTTGACCATGCCAAAATCTGGTGTTAGCACATCTCCACCTAGTTCACAACAAAAAGTATAACCAAATTCACAAACAAATTCACACATACATACATATCCAACAAAGTTTCAAATTTACACCAAGCATAACCATAAAGTTCACAACCATGAGCTCCACCGGTTAAAACATAGTAGCATGTATGCCTATCGTGGAGGGCATCCGTGATGCAAACCTACAAGTTCATTACCATAAGCATGAGTTTTCGAATTGAAAATGCAAACGATCAACAAGGTTCAGAGTGAAGTTAAAAAGTATGAAATAGGAGTACCAATACTTGTGCACTAGGAGCTCATACAGATTCTCAAAGTGAAACGGCCGGCCCTGAATCTCATACAAATTCTCAGAGGTCAGAGCTCATCCCGGAGCGCGCCGGCGGCTGGCTGGAACGAGGACGAGCAAACCCTGGCCTCTTTGTACACCTTCCCCGGCCGGCAGAGGTAGCCCCTCTCAGGCGCGCAGTGCGAGTCGTCGGAGCAGACGCACAGCCCTTCCATGGCGCAGCCTTCCTTGTCGACGCTCGGGCTCGTCCTGTTGATGCCGAGGACCTGGTCGCTCCACTCGCTGGAGAAGAGCCCATCGGGGTCGTACCTGCCCTTCACCTCCAGGAACTCGCCGGCCTTCGGGTACCTTCCCACGGCACCGTCGAAGACAAAGTTGCGGTTCTTGCCCCAGTGCGGGAAGCCGCCATACTTGCGCAGTGCCATCTGCTCGAGCTCGTCTATGACGTCCGCGTGTGCTCGGGGCGCGCCGGCGGTGTAGCTCCGGTAATACGTGATGTCGAAGTCCACCGCGTCCTCTGGCTTGCCGAGGTAGGCGGACGACGCCCTGAGGTAGCACGCGAGTAGGCCGCCCCTCGCGTCCAGGCTGCAGAACGCGCGTGGGTTGAGGTCCCGGAGGCGCTTCACGTCGGCGACGAACGCCGCGGCGTTGCCGAGAGGGACGCTGATGGCCGAATTGTAGATAAAGGTAGCCCCGAGGCGAGGGTCCCACTTGCAGGAGGTGAGGAGCTCGTCTTCCGGGCTGTCGATGCATGAGCCGGTCGCCTGCATGCGGTGCTGGTACCCCACCACGGGGTACCCCGTGAAGACCTCGCCGTCGTTGGTGAAGCCGTGTGGTGGCTGCGGCTGCGGCTGCAGCTGGCCAGCCGCCGCCGCCTCGCACCTGGCAATGTCGGTGCCGTTCTCCTCCGGCAGCTCCTCTGCGCGTCTGGCGCCGACGCGTCCGAACGCGGCTCTCGATCGGAGGGTGGGATGGTCGTTGAGGCCGTTGCCCGGCGACGACACGTCGACGCGGTCGTCCTGGCGGTACACGACCTTTCCCCGCCCCGGCTGCCACGCCAGGTCGCCGAACTCATGGAGGCCGCCCCACGCGGCCACTTGATCCTCCAAGTCCGAGTCGTCGCGCTCCAGGAACGTCACCGACCGTTTGAACAGCGGCTGCAAGGCCAGCGTGACCTGAGAGACAACGCCGAGGACGCCGAGGGAGACCTTGGCGGCGCCCAGGTCCGGGTGTTGGGCGCCGAGCTCCCTCACCTCCGCGAAGCCCTGGCTGGCCGGCGCCGGCGTCACGATCCTCAGCCCGACGACGTACTCATGAACAGCACCCCCCTTTCCCCATAGCGAGCTCCCGTGCGCGCCCGTCGCGAGCAGGCCCCCGATGGTGACGCCGGACCAGTACGGCGAGTGCGGGAGCGCCAGCCCCGCGGAGGCGGCGGCCCGGAGCAGGTCCCGGAGGAGCACGCCGCTCTCCACGGTGATCATCCGCGCGGCGGCGTCGAGCCTGACCGTGCTGTTAAGCTGCAGGGTGCTGATGATGATGCCGTCGCGACCGCCGGGGCACGCGAGCTTGGGCAGGCTGTGGGAGTACCTGGTGGCCACCTTAACCTTGCGCCCGGCCGCCGCTGCGGCCGCCACGGCCGCGACAAGCTCCTCCTCGGTGCTCGGGTACGTGACGCTGGCCGCGCGGCTGGTGGCGCGGTCCGGGAAGGAGCCGTACGCGTTGGTGACCGTGCAGTCGGACGTGCCGCGGGCGCAGACCACAGGAGTCGGCGGGGGGCTGGATCCGGCCAGGTGGATGAGGAGCCCCACGACCACGAGGAGAGTCGTGGCAGGGCCCTCCAGTTCCATTGCCATGGCTGCCTAGTGCTTAGTGGCTGCAGCTGAACTTGTGTTTGTTGTGCAGACTGCATCATGGTACTCCTGAGTGGACACGAGTATGAACTGTCGATATGACTTTCTGAATGACACGAGTACGAATCAGACTGAACCATTGTAGTCCTGTCCTTTTATTTTTATTTTCCTTTAGAAAAGGGGAAGGACCCCGGCCTCTACATCATCATCATGCACATAGTCATTTTTATTAAAAAACAATAAATAGATCTGAATATACATAGTATCAACAAAAACGATAAAAAGAAAAGAAAACACCACAAATGATGGGTACAAACAAAAAATTACATGACTTAACCACATAATCTATTAGTGACATGCCAGCCAAACCGGTTGAATAACGCCTATGAAACCATCTCCAGACGGTTGCACCCAAAGGCCATCAGCCCCAAGATCTCTACGCTGAGGTGATGACTATGTACGGATTGATGTGATGGCTCTGAAGATAGCTTCTGCCCTACTCCTACTCTTTTTTTTTGCGGGGGGACCCTACTCCTACTCAACAAGTCATGTTCACCAACTCTACACGTCGTGTCTCGTTCCATGGTTGAGAGGTCATTATTATTTTGGCGCATTCGCTGTTTGTCGGTTTCCTGGGAATAGCATCGATTTTGCAAATTAAATTTCCACCCATTTCAATCATATCGTCCCTTTATTTCCACCAGATCATGACTTTAGTGATCCAGGGCCTCATGTCTATTCTCCAAGAAGAGATGATATTGATCAACTCTACCTTTTTTCTTGATATAAAAGGCATTTTTATAACTAAAAAATGCAGCATCAAGTGGATATAAAACATGACGAGTTACACTCAGGCTCTCCATAACTAAGTTGCACAGAACCAAGGATGTACCTTTAGTTTTTATTGCTAATTTTTTGACAGACGATGTAAGTATTATTGGAGTTTTAATAAAGCTAGCCATGAAGGCCTTCCCATAAAAAAATGCACACAACCGAACACTAACGGTCTAACAAAGAAGAGCAGTTTTAACATGGTCCCTCTTACCCCCTCTTTTCACATGAGAGGTAAGAGTATAAAATAGATCTTAGCCGTTGATCTCATCAATGAATGGCTTGATTGACTCTTACCTTCTTACCTCACATGTAAAAAAAGGAGGTAAGAGGGATCATGTTAAAATTTGCCAACAAAGAAAAGAAGAAACAAACCCGGCATATGGGCAACAATAGAGTCATGTAGAACCGACACTATGTCTATGTCGAAGGAGATGGTGGACCGATACATAAATTATGCTGCCACCCATGTTGGATAAAACCTCCATGTCCACTCGCTCCAACCGCATACACACCGTCTTAAAACCAATTGGTACTTCGTTCGGTGTAGCGTAGACCACATACGAAGCGAGTGCATATAACGGAATACGAGATGAGCTCTTGCCATTATAAAACAAATTATTTCTACATAGCCAAAACCTCAACCTTCCAACTTAATCCTCCAGAATACATCAGTGAAACAAAATGCTCAGATTAGAGTACCGAAACACCTCGAAGAGTAGAACGCACCATCAAATCGGAGTTGTTAAAATGCATCATTCACTCGACATGAACAAGAAAATAGATTTAGAGAGATGCAACACAAATCTACATGATAGTAAACTTGGGATGTAGCACAAATTTACTA